GGAAGAGGGAAGAGGGAAGGCGGCTGGAGTTCCTCCAACATTTGCGGTTAGATTATCATATATTTTTATTGACAAAAATATAGGCTGCTTCGGCTGATTTTTTTTATGCGCACATGTGCCCCTAAATATTTTTTACAGTTCGCACACACGTATTTTTAGTCGAGTGAAACGCTCGCACTGTAGAGCACTGGATCTGACAGCCTGAGCACATCGGCACAAAACACTAAGGCGTTCAAGATATTATTTATATAATGAGAAGTCAATACTTTCAGCAGCCTAAATCTTTTATTTAGAAACTATGGCGGGTCAAATTAAACTATGGCGGGTCAAATTAAACTATGGCGGGCCGCCATAGTTTCGTTAATAAATGGGAAACACTGAGTAACCGTTTTGGCCACATTCTTACATACAGCGCCTTTAAGGCCTTGTCAAATAGTAAGGATTAGAATTTTAGCTTTGATTAAAGTTATGGTTACAGTTATTTATAATGAGATTTATGATAGGGGTGGGAATATTAGAAAATCTTACAGTATGTTTTTGATTCTTGGTATCATGATTTTATTCAGAATCGATTTGCACTTCAGAATTGATTCTTGATTCTTGATATAAAAGGGCATTATTTTCTGTCTGTTAGACTAGTGCACTAGGTGCCAAATCACGCGCTCGTGTTTAGGCTACTGATATGCATTATTAAACTTAACTGGTAGTTTGCTAACTGATCTCGATAAGGGATACTGCAGAAATGAACAAAAAAAGCAGAGAACAGTGTAATTTACAGAATTTGTCTGTGTGTTCTGGTGTCAGAGAGCTCAACTGTGCTGTTAATTAAATTGTCCACATTGTCTCCAGCTGTGGAAAACACACCCTTCCCTGCAATGCTAGCACAAAAGAAGTCCCTTCTAATCCACAATACTGTGCCAGAGCCACAGGTCCCTTGAAATTAAACTGGACTGAGTTATTTCCTTCACCTAATCACAGTTGAAGTTTTGGTTTAAGTTCTGTAAAAGGCTGCAGTGTGTGTTGGCTGGCTGGCTTGTTTGCACTGTGCCTTCAAAATACAATTCTACCCTTTTTGTTCTGCTAACATCACATTGTCAACAACGTAGGCATTTCTGGAATCTGTGAATCAATAAGAATCAAAACATGTAGTTCTTGAGATACAGTTTAGAATCCAAACTCACTGTGAGAAAAATATTACATCTATGGCACCGCCATTAAAAACAGACTGTCTGAAATGAGGAACTGTTTCCAAAAGCAGTTTTTTTTAATTGGTTGAGAAAAGTACTCGAAGTTATTAAGTACTTTGAAAAGAACGCGTGGCAGAACAACACTACCTCTCATTTCAGCTGACTCTCAGCTGAAAGCCCCATCCTTGACACATGTCATACAGTACACTGCATGACAGCTTTGATGATCTGTTTTCATCTTACAGACGAAAATATAGCAGACAGGATTTTTTTCACATTATGTGAGGGGGGTTCACATACCTGAGGCTGTGCCACAGCAGGGCGGCACCCACCAGGCTGAAGAGAAGATACTGCTGATGACATCAGGTGGAAAGAGGGTGACATTTCTCTGCACCTGAAGTAAGTTCAGCACCAGGGCCAGAAAGACACCCACGGTAAACAGCATGACCCCTCGGATCACCAGGTTGGTAGTCCTACAATACGGAGGAAAAGGAGTCAGGAGACTAGGAAAATGCCTGCAGTGATTAGTTTTATACTGAAAACTCGCACAACATGATAAAAAGAATGCAGGGCCTCAAAGTACATTAATACAGTGTACTGTATCCTATGCAGACTCCTACATATCCTCCCATGGTTATCTTACATATGGCTATGACAACAACATTTCCGTTCATTCATTTTCCGTAACCGATTATCCTAATGGGGGTCGCAGGGGGGTTGGAGCCTATCCCAGCTGTCATTGGGCGAGAGGCGGGGTACACCCTGGATGGGTCACCAGACTATCACAGGGCTAACAGAGACAGCGGGGAGAACATGCAAACTCTGCACAGAAGGGCTCCCCGACCCTGGGTTTGAGCCCCCCACCCTGCGTTCGAACTCGAAACCCTCTTGCTGTGAGATGACAATGCTAACCACTGCACCGCCATGCCACATCCGCTGCACTGCTCTACACTGGTTTAAAAAAAAACAACAACAACAAAAAACAACAAAAAAAAAAACACATCCCTGCCTTTGGTCATCATGTTGCTCTTTTTACAGTGAGTTTAAGGGAGAAGACATGCAGCTAACCTGTTGGTGATGACTGAGATATAGGGGCCCCGGAAAGGCTGTGACATCTGCCCGGGCCCCGACCACTGCTGCTGGCCACTGGTCACTGTGCTGTCGCTCATAGCTGTCAGTGTTCGGGACATTCATAAGCCTAGGTCAGGAAAATACAGAACAGTGTGTGACGTCTTTATCCACCAGTGACTTTAATGTCCTCCCCTGACATCACAGACCAAGCTGAAAAACAAGAACAAGCAGGGAATCAAGAAAGACCAAAGAATCCACCCTAAAACACAACTAACATCTTGCTTTTAATTTCAATGACCTTAGACAACCTGTGTCCACATATAATATACATACATCTGTCATCCTAGCTGCGGCGTCAGACCATCAGTTTTTAAAGGTAATACTTTTTGACACAAGTGACAGTTCTGGAGTAGCGGCGCTGAAAATGGGGTGATATTTCATCCAAATGAAGTGAATAAAGGCTTCCAGTAGGTTTGAGCAGTATCACCTCAATTCAGTATGTATGATTTATGGAGTAAAACTATCAATAACAAAATATGTGAATTTATGAATGCATTTGTATTATCTACAAAAGACTTGCAAAATATTGTTTCAAAACATTAAATATAATATATGTAGATACACTGTGCAATCCACAAATAAACAACCTACTATACTTACTATATAAGTACATAATGTATTACATTATCCATACAGTGTATTTGTTGCAAGTCTTTGCTCTCCCATGCACTCTGGTACTATTTGTAACCCTGTCTCTACAGTTAACAGTAAAAATCTGACCTTTATATAGATATTGCCTCTTATTTTCTGTGTGAAGGCTATATACACTCTGTTGCCAGTTATTGGGTCCACTTTCCTAAACTAATGCAGACAATCCTGCAACACATCCTACCTTCATTAAAGCTTGCAACATTACAATCTGTCAATATACATTTTTTGTTTTGCTTTGGGTTTCCTTTTTTTGTTGTTTTTTCATTCCTACAAGTCTGTACATAATAGCTTAATGTCAGTGTTTTTTTTATTCAGATATATGTCCGTGGGGATCTTTCTGTACATGTTCTTCACACTGTGTATATTAAAAGCTACTGAGAATCCAAGTGAACTTATCCATTTGCTTACAGGGATAGTTCAGTTTTGTTAAAGTGGGGCTGTATGGGATACTTAGCCATAGTCTGTATATTACATACAGTAGATGTGATCGGCTCACCCTCAGTTTGGAGAAGCAGGCTGGAGTCCGACATGGAGGCTAAGCAATGTACTGCTGTGGAGGGGTCAGCAACAAAATATATTTTAGCCACCTAAAAAAATCTATATCAGTTTAAGTGTAAGCCATATTGAGAGTGGTTTCACTGCTTTACCTTAATGTCAGACAGTGAATTCTGATGGGAAAATGAAGCCATTATATTGCTCTCATCAATGCCAGACTCTTTTGAGAAAAACAGTCATTTAACGTTGCTGAGCACAGGAGTTGCTGGCCTACCGCTGCCTCAAACAGATATTTGGTTTGTATTGTTGCTTGACTTTGGCGTTTAAAAGGGCTAGTTTGGATTACCTTAAGTCAAACAATAACACAAACTAACTAAATAGGGGCTGCTGCAGCAATTAACTGGCTACCTGACGAACTTAGCCTAACTGCTAATCATGAAGCAGCGTCAACAGCATTTGCCTGTTTTCACTAACGTTACCGACTGCTGATGAATGCGTTTAAAATGGGCATTGAAACAGTCCATAGGGACTTGGGTTGGGAACCGGAGGGTTTTCTGTTCAAGTCCCCGTCCAGACCAAAATACGGAGTGTGGACTGGTGGCTGGAGAGGTAGTTCAACTCCTGGACACTGCCGAGGTGTCCTTGAGCAAGGCACCTAACCCACCCAAATGCTCAGAGCGCCTGTCCATGACAGCTCCCTCACTCTGACATCTCTCCACTTTGTGCATGTGTGTGTATTTTGGACCTGTGTGTTAATGACAATGGAGTGAAAAATTAAATTTATTAATTAAAAAATTAAATTTTTCACTCCATTACTTTTTTAATTAATAAAGTATATATATAAAAAAAATCTAATAAATAATAATAATAGAAGCTCCTGTGTTCAGCAAGCTAAAATAACTGTTTTTGTCCATGGAGTCTGGTGACTTGACAAGAGCATAGATGGCGAACTGAAGCTGCCGGCTGTCAAAGGTGAAAATATTCTCAATATAGCATCCAATTAAACTGATAGTGACTTTTTTTGGGTAGGACTTCTAGGTGGCTAAAATGCATTTTGTTGTTGACCCCTCCACAGCAGCACATTGCTTAGCTTCTGTGTCCGACTCCAGCCTGCTTCTCCAAAGTAGGGGTGTGCCAACTGTCATCTACTGTATGTAATGTACTGACTTTAGAGAAGTACCCCATCTGGCCTCACTTTAAAAAAAAAATCCACCCTATTCCTCTAAACATGCAATACTCATATCATGGAACTTTGATTCTGATTCTGAAGCCTGTTGTCACATTGTCTTTGCCGTTATTCCCTCAGTCACCATTAATGAAGTAGCTCCAGGATGTGTCTCAAAAATATAACATTTCCACCTGCTCTTGTTTTGATGCTCAGCTAATGCAGATGCTTGTTCAATACCATCAGAGAAGTAAATAATTAATAATATTTTCTATGCAGGGCATTAAGCACACTTGTCTCAATACGTGAAGGTGCTGTTAATTGGTTAATACTGTGGCACTGATAGATGATACTGATGCCACCAAGCTGCACCACTTTTCCAGCAACAACAGACACTTTGTACCTGACTAAATTAATGATGAGGTAGCGTTAGATGACTGATTGCATTCAGCGGGCTTGTGGTGGGCTGCACTCACCATTGGCCCCAGTGTGCCCCCTCTGGTAGTGACAATACCTCAGAGGAACACACTGGGAATAGTTTACCTCATGTGTCTCTGTGCTGTCATCTCACACAGAACTTTAAAACACAATTACAATCTAACTTTGATGTTTTAATAACTTAGCTATCAACAGGGCTGCTGCAGCAATTAACTAGCTACCTGACGAACTTAGCCTAACCGCTAATCATGAAGCAGCGTCAACAGCATTTGCCTGTTTTCACTAACGTTACCGACTGCTGATGAATGCGTTTAAAATGGACATTGAAACACCAGAATTATGGTAAACAGTAATAACGAACAAGCACTCGTGTACGAGGCGGATGTGCTAGGTTAGTTATCCCGACGGTAGTTGGCTAGCCTGATTATGTGGAATAGCTAGCTAAAGTGCATTTGTCATTAACAGCCGTCGTAGCGAACTGACTGGGGTCAAAGATAACCCTTACCTTATGTTGAAAGACAGCTTCCAATACAATTAGACATTCCATATGACATTTACATAGCCGATCTTATAACACTAGGTTGCAATACATTAAAATGTCCATCGACCTCCAGCTTCTCTCCCTACTGAGACTACTTCCGGCTGTAAGATGAATGAACACCGAACACCCAATCGGCGTGTAAAACCATGACGTAACCACGTTACACAAAACTGATGTATCACGTGAGTTCACGTCGAAGGATTGACCTAACCAGAGATATTAGATAAAGCTGACCAAACTTCAAAAAGAATCCTGCAGAAGTCACAGACAGGGCCCATAAATGTCAAATATAAAGTCATTAATTTAACCTGAAAATCAAGTGATAGTGGAAATATCATGTTTAAAGTAGTACACTGGAGAGAACTATATGATTTTTTTCTAGCAGTTTAAAGAACAATGTCCTTTGTGACTTCTTGTAAAATTGATGTGAAATTGATTAAAACACTTAAAAAGACTAGTGTAAAGTCTCAGTTTTCAAATATAAAGAGCTGTGTGCTGCAGTCATTCCTCTCACACAAACATAGTTTTTTTTGGGGGGGGGGGATTCCCCGCAGCACATTTGATGTGCTCTCGTGGTCTAACAGGCTTACAGAGATGCAGATGTGAGAAAGTCACAGTACGGAGTGGATCACTCTTAATCCTCAGTCCCATTTACACTCCATTTTGTATTCAGCATGCTGAGGCCTGCTGCTCACGATGGGGTTTCAGGGATTGTATCTGGCTACACAATAGTTTGAATATAAACAGACTATCCATGCTTTCCCATTTCACCATAGCTCAGTTAACTTTATCACGGTTAACTGTAGTTTTCATGATACAGATGTCAAACTCAGAGCAAGCTGCTGTTGTTGCCTGTGATGATGCCAAACAAGTGAAGGTGGAAGGAAAGACGAAAAAGGGTGACACAGGGCTACTAGTTCTTAAGATCAAAACAAATTAGAACTAGGCTTCTTAATACTATGCAGGATTTCCTTATAAAACAAGTAAATACTCAAAAAATGGCAATGTCTCTAAATCATCACTTATAACCCACTCTTAGCATGTGGCGGTACCCTCTGCCTGGATTTTCTTATTTTGCTGTGTTCGGGACGTTCCTGGGCACAGCGCTCAGGTAAGGTCAGAGCTTCATAAAAGTAGCGACCAGGTGCCAGACTGCAAGCAGCAGGCATCCAATCGAAAGCTACAAAAAACTGAAGACACAGCGCAAAAACAACAACAAAAAACAACGCAAATACAACGAACAACAGCCAATCTAGGGTTGGCTTCACTCTCAGTAGCGATATTGTTTACAATCAGCAACCAACAACTCCTGCACAGCATACCTTGAATTATTTAGCCTATATTTATTTAAAGTCTTGCATAAAGTAAATTAGATTTAAGCATATCTTCAGCACATAAAACTGGACTGTGCATTGTTTTCAGTCTGCTGGGCTGAGCCTAATAGTTTTAGAAAAAAGCTGTTATTCTGCAAAAAAACAGACAGCTTACATTCAAAGAGATACATTTAGATCATGGGGCCTCAGGGAGATGTGATTTACAGAACATATAATGAAATAGTTGAATGAATAATTAAAATGTAAAATTTTGTGGTTTTGTCAGCACTCAAGTTTTGTTGGTGACCAGTCAAAAATTTGTGCAGAGTTTCCTAATTAAACAAACTGATATGCATTTGCCATAAAATTGCAAACCATAACTAGTTTTAAAAAGTTATAAAAACATAAACCAAACAACAACAAAGAGAGAATACATTACAAGGATCACTAACATTTAGGGACAGTTCATTACTTATGAGGGGGAAGGGGGTGGTGCAAAGAGGGGGAGGCATGTTGAATAAATTTTAAAGCATTGCAGAGGGACTTGTTTTTTATTCTGACTTAGGGGAGGAGCATACAATTTTAAATGGTTGTATTTTGTATTTATTTTACAGCAGATTTTTAAAGAAAAAATGTCTTAGGGCATTACACCATTTATCATAGTCAGAAACTGTAAAAACCCATATTACCGTTGGATTTTAACATTTCTGACAGTTCTTAGAAACATCATGTGCTACAAACGCTTCCATCAGAAAAAAAAAAAAAAACATAACCAAATCTGAGCTTAAAATAGTGATATTTCATCAGAAATTACTTTATTCTATGTATCATTTAAAATTTAGCAAAAAATAAATCATTTGCAGGAACTAACCCGCATGCACAACAACAATAGACAACGGCCAGAGAAAATGATTGAAACATGGCTACAACTCATTATCCCCAGACTCAGCCAGCTACAGTGATTAATTTATGCTTCTGACATTTATTTTTTATGTAATGAGATGACTCAGCAGGTTCTATGTACTGTGCTACTCACAGTCCCATGGGAGACTCACTTAACCCTAATAATTAGAGTGATAAAGGAAGTCTGGTAGGTAAGAGGAGGGTATGGGGGCTTTCGATTAGTTGTCAAGGGCTACTTGGAGGCCCCCTGACACAGCCAGAGAATATCCAGGGATTCACTTCATCATTCTGCCTGTGCCAAATGCTAAGGGCCTTTTCATTATCAGACCACTGACTCCCACTGTCGTCTCCTTCGGTATAAATGTGAATGATGGCGTGCGCAGGGTGCTGATGGAGGGGTGGTGCCAGGCCCTCATCGTAAATGTCATCCCCATTGGACCGTTGCAGGTCCCGGCTCCAAAATAATAGGCCCTGTGACCTCTCTGTTGTCTATAATTAACCTCTAACCCCTCCCTCCCGGCCTCATCCACCAATCCCCAGGCAGCCATGATGTGGGAGATGCTTTTTGCCAAGCCTCTTATACCTCGGCTCCTGATTCTCTCACTAAGCACTAGGCACACGAGGCATAAATTGGGAAAAGGGTGTGGGAGCAACAAAAGAAAATGTATGTTGTATGAATGAATGAGTGAATGCGTCACATATTTTGGATGACCTGAGCACTCTGCATTATAAGGCCTAAAATTAAATCTTTTAAAAATGTAGATGTATCCCTGACAGGACCTGAGAAAGATTAGAGTCAGGGTCATCATGACATACAAGAATGTGAAATCTTTGTTTTTTATGGTAAAATCAAAATAAAAACTAATTTCCAAATTCTTCTTTGTTAGAATGGAGAATCTGATTTCAGCTGTGCACCTTACAACAACCTCCACCCACAGGGCACTCAGAAGAAATGTGGAGTTCCTTCTTACATTGAGTGTTTGACATTCCCTCTCTGTCTGTGTGTGTGCTTGACATCCTCTGAATCTGCATTAACCACAGCTGTACCATGTCTCCAGCAGCAGGGGAATAACCACGTTCTAGACAGACAAGCTTGGCTAAAAAGAGAAAAGAGGAATGATCTGGAGAACACAGGTACCTCCCGTGTGCAGGCATACTGACATTTACCACAACAATGAAGCATCCAACAAGCAAAGTGTGGCAACGGTAGGTGTTGGCTAAATAACCCCAAATCACAATAGAAAGTCAAATGATCCCTAATGGCTAGAGCTGACACCTGTACATAATGACATTTTGAGGATGCACACACAGACAATTATAGGAGAAGAATCACACAAGGAGGAAATGAGACATTGGGGGGGGGGGGGGGGGGGGGGGGGAAGGGGCGTTCTCTGTCTTTAGCAGCAGTCTGGGTAAAAGGCAGCTCTCATCTTCAGCCAGTGGAAAACAGAGAGGAGTCATTTGTGGTGCACGATTGTCTGTGCAATTTTTTGGGACTTGGAGTAGGAAATGCAAATGCCCTGTTGCTGGCAGCAGCATGGAAGCTATGCCAGCATGTGTGTGGCATATTGAATGATAATGACAAAGCAGGCTGTATCCCTTGTGAGCAAGCCTGCGGAACAATGATTACAGATTGGCCGGTGTGTCCTTAGCATCACAAGGGACTCTGATTCTAATGCTAATCAGAGCTACTGCCCATTGAAATATATCTGTACTTGCAAGGCAAGAGGAAATAAGATGGAATATCCCAGTAAGGCTGCAACTGTGTAATGAAGCCCTTCTTATTTTGATATTTTAGCCCACAGGAATTTGGAGTGGCTTTTGGCAGGCTTAACCTATTGCACCCCCTGCTGGCCTGAGGCTGGTACCAGGGTGATACAGGCTTATTTTGTTCTAGATGCAATTATCCGTCACCAGCTGAAAATTTTGATGTATGAGCTTGTTGGTATTCTGCGTTATTCAGTTTGTTATTTGAGGGGGAGAGCATGTTAAAGATGACGCATCTTCGTCTGTTGGTTAGATCATACAGGCATGTGCTAATCCAGTCTCAATATACAAGGCACACACACACACCTAGTGGGATTCATCCTAGGTTCAGATTTTTCCACTCTCATCCCCCCTGCTCCATCAGCCTGAATCAGTCACACTCTCTCCCCCCACCTTTCCTCTTTGAATGTACTTTATTTTCATTCCGAGGAGAGAAACAAGAAGGAGAGCCGAGGCACAGTGATGCTCAGCTGCACACTCAATGTAGGTTAATGGAAGGGAGGAGAGTCTGAGCTCAGGCCACCTCCGATTGGCTGGCTGGCGATGTGCAGCTTCTCCGCAGCACAACCTGTCACTGTTAATCAAGGGCCATCTCTTAACAGCCAGCCAGGGCTATCAGAGAGGTGAGCCCATTGCTATTCAGGATGAAACAGATGATAAATCATTTGTACATAATTAGTGCTCAGCAAGGTTACAACTGACACGTATTTTCATCTTAATTAGGAGGGAAATTTGTTCCATTAATTTAATTTGGTGCGCATGAGCGCCTCTGCACCTAACTAAGTTAATCTTACACCTGTCAGGGTGGGAATGGTGTTGGGCCTTGGATTACAGAGGGAATGGATAAGAGTCCTCTCTCAGATTGTTTCACACACCTCCAAGCCAATTGGACTGTAGTGAAGCAGCAGTGGCAAATAAACCTGCAGCTTTGAACATCTGCTGCTGTGTGGGAAAGTAACTGCTAGGGGCATTTAACTCCATGTTACTGTTCTTCAGTCAGCTTGGAATTAGTGTGTATGATGATAAATATAGACAGATAAACCTTGTCTTCCACAAACACACTGCAAAAACTGATCAGGGAACAGAAAATAAGTCAGTATTGTATCCTCGATGCCT